AAAAAGGGGATTGTAGGTATGATCTTAGAAAGAATGTGATAGGGCAATAGAAAGAAATAGGGATAGTGAGATGAACAGGGATAGGAGGAGGGTCAACTGGAGAATAAACTCTAGAAGAGCACAGTTAAACTGAATGGCCTATTGTTGTGCTGTAAGTTCTACTTATTTCTATGTCATGTAAGATAAGAGGACAATTTGGCTATCTAAATGATCTTTCATTTCTAATGGCTGCAGAAAACTTCTGCCTGCTATAAAATATTGACAACTGATTTTGTAATTGCTTATGAATTAAGCACTTACATTTAATACTGGTAGACATGCTTTTCGGCATAGACGAATCAACAGTGGCTGAAATATACACAAACAAGAAAACAGTGAAAATTGCATGAATTAATCTAATTGCATGGTATTTACTCCGTGATAGTAAACATTCATTTTCGTTATAATTCAGTTCTATGAATTGATGAAATGAAAAAAAAATGCACACACACATTTCAGTAAGAAATGTGAAGGTATTTTAAATGTTTAGGTATTCAATTTATATATCTAGAGCTATACAGACACTTCAGACCTAATAATTCAATAGCTATCATCAGCTCTGAATCTTAACGTTAAAAAATGCGGCAGAATAGTCCAGTACAAATCATCGCATCTAGTGTGAATCAGATTTTGTTGACTCCACTGACGCCTATCCAAGGAGGTAGATTTTAATGGCAGAAATGATGTGTCAGATCAGTTCAATAATTGTAGTTTATCTAATACTTTTATATTAAAATATCTCTACCATGGAAATACACTTTAATTATTTACCAGTTGAATTTAGATATATCACAGATAGGTTATAGCAATTTTGGCCTTTGGCAGGTTCATAGAAAAGACACTATGCAATATTGAACCACACATGTTCTGACACTCTGAGTTCTTAAAAAAAACGTCCAATTTGTCTGCTGCTATCTTATTATTTAGGAGTATATAGTTAATGATACTTTTGGATAAGCTAGAGGACACCATAAAGGGAAAAAGATGATGTTAAATCTAAATAAATATAAATTGGCTAGGTTACAATTACAAAACTATGGCAGAATCTCTCCTGATTAACTAAAGTAATTGTGAAAGAAGATCTAAATAGATCCAACAGAAATGCCCTAAACAGTCTTACCACGTTTTCCATGGTTCTTCTGGTGGAAATTATAGTGGACAACTAAGGCAAGCTATGCAAAGAGTCTACTATTTCCAGGATTAGTTACCATACTTTGAGATGGCATCAAAGAGAAAAGGCTTTACTTATAAGTAGAAATCGAGTAACTGGTTTAACGCTGGTAACTTTGAGTTTTGAAGAGGGTCACTGGACCCGCAATGTTATTCTCTCCACAGGTGCTGACAGGCATGTTCGTTTTTTCCAGCAATTTCTCTTTTTGTGCGTCGGTCTTCTTTTACTGAAAGCTCAGAACAGATCTTCAAATTTGTGGGGGTTTTGATAAAATAAATGGAAAAATACGTTTATTGGTCTAAAAGTTATCAACTGGAGAACATAAATTTCAGAAGAATGAAGCTAGAGGTTACAAGAATTTTTTTTATGCAGTAAATTGTAAGAACAGTGGAATATTAGGACTGGACGTAGTGGTTATAGAGAAATCCACATTAGCCTATTGAAAAAAATTGGATAAATATACAAAGGGAAAAGGATAACTGTCTAGGAAAAGGGTGGAGGGAATAGAATTAAACAAGAAGCTCTTTTAGAGGAATGGGACGTGGGCTGAAAGGTTTCTGTTGCAATATTCTATGATTCTAAAATAAATAACCGATAATCTCATTTTCAAAATAGAGATTTTGGCCTCTGATAGAATTTTTAAAAAAATCAACTTGTTTGTTATGTTATGTATGTTAAACCTCTGTCGCCATCACATCCTACAGTGGGACTTGAAGCCAGATGTAGGGATATCACCATGCCACAAGGCCCTGAGCAGAGTCTGTTATTTTAGTGTTGGCATTAATTAATTTAAAATGGATCAGTTAATAAAGGCTTCAAAATAATGTCAATCAGAAAATCATTTATGGTCTCAGTCTTATTTTCTAATATAACCCTTTTGCCTGATTTAATGTTATGGTTGAAGGCCAGTGTAGAACAAATATTTGTGGCGATTTTAAATTTCAATGGTGGTTATTAAATGTGCTTTCAATGGAGAAGAAAATGGGGAGGGTGTATAATTGGCAAATAAACTGTTTACCTGTTACAACCTATTAATCAATGTTAAAATCAATTCAGTACTCTCAAATATTCACTTACAGATTTTGCATGTTGAGTTACACTACTCCTTTCTGATATGGTAAAAGTTGGTACAAATAATTAAAGATATTTTTGCATCGCTCTAGCAAATACTTCATCCTTGTAGCATTAGGAATGAATATTTGTGTCACATTAGCAAAATTAAAAAATTTTTCATAATGTCTGTTGTTTGCTTAATGCATAGCCACAAATGACAATTAAGCATAGACATCTATATTTTATCTATGATACCTTTGGCTGATTGTAGACTCTTGTAATGCATAGCCAAGTGATCTTGAATGATAAACTGTGTGGATAGCTTGCAGGATGATCCCAAACAAAATGCTGAAGAAACAAAGCAATACATATTGATCATTGTTCTTGACCAATCTATTGATTGAAGGTCGCCTAATGAGATTGTTTTGAAGCCTATTTCACATAATTTGAAGCCAATTACTTTTTATTATTTTCTGTGTAGAAAGAATTATGGGCTAAACCTTCCCATATATTGGTAAACTGTCATTTTTATCAAGTTTCTTGGAGGGCTAAAGGGTTTTCCCATGCTATGATCCTAACTACACCTCAATAACTTCCTACCACACTGTTATGATGCCCTTACATCTGAAAGGGCACCACAATCTGATTTGCCCACTCATGGTTGCTGGAAGTACTCATCACTGATGGGATCCCTAGTTCAGGCATCATCTTTAAAAGTACACTCAGTCAAGCACTGTCAGTCCAGCTGCCCTGCATGGTTCATAACATTTGCCCTGGACAAGGTAGATCAGGGGAAACTGACACTAGGCTTTGCAGACAGGGACCTAGGTCTTGGCAAAGGGGTAGTGTATCAGAGAGATGTTCTCTTCCCTCAGGACCAGCAGAGGAGTTCACATCACCAGACCCTGCCTGCCTGTTTCAAGGTTGTCACCTGGGTCAGTGTGGTCTCAACCATCTAGAGGAACATCCAGCAACAAAAGAGGAAGGTCAATGGCCTTCTCTGTGCTGCCAAACCAAGTGCCACCATTGTCTCTGCTACCTCAGACCCACTCTATTTCTGCTACTGCACCCACCTCCCACCAAGATTCATACTGTGTGACTCTCACTATTGCATGTAACATTTTCCCTCACTTGCTCTTCCCCACCCAATTGCCCCATAATGTTAACCCTCTGTGCAGCCAGCTCACTTATTTGGGATACCTCAACTCCCATGCTCCACCTGCAGCAGCACTGACAGCCACCCACTTTCATCTTACTCAATCCCTTCCTTTCTCTCATTCCAGGAGAATCTGGATCACAACAGAGCAAAAAGGGCCTAGATATGTGGTGGAATGCCTAGTATCTAGGTTCTCACCCCCAAAAAGGAGAGAAGCTTGACGCTGACTGCCCTGAATTGCCAAACTGTTTGTGTTCAAGCCTCTAGACTGATAACGGAGACTGCCCTTAACGTATTGTACCAGAACCCCCTGAATAAAGTGTGATACCTGTGACTTGATTGAACATAGAACATAGAACATAGAACATTACAGCGCAGTACAGGCCCTTCGGCCCTCGATGTTGCGCCGACCTGTGAAAACCAATCTGAAGCCCATCTAACCTAAACTATTCCATTATCATCCATATGTTTATCCAATGACCATTTAAATGCCCTTAAAGTGGGCGAGTCTACTATTTTTGCAGGCAGGGCATTCCACGCCCTTACTACTCTCTGAGTAAAGAAC